CTCATCCTGGTGGCCGCTGGGATGATGAAGATGGCCACCGGTGATGATTTCCCCGCTCCGGCGGAGTGCCGGAACAGGGTCTAGATTGGTTTTTCGTGGCTACAGAGGCTTGCGGCGGCGGAACTTCTGATCTGGGGTTACCCCCTGGGTTTTTGGAATATTTGGGAATTTATAGGGCGAAGAGGCGGTGCAGGAATCCACCGAGGTGGGTTGTGCCCACCTGGGCGCGCCTGGCCCCCCAGGCGCACCCTGGTGGGTTGTGCCCCCCTTGGGGCTCCCCTTTGGTACTTCTTTGGCTCACCGCGTGTCTTCTGGTCGAGGAAAAATCTCCAAAAAGTTTCGCTGCGTTTGGACTCCATTTGGTATTGATTTTCTGTGATGTAAAAAACAAGCAAAAAACAACAACTGGCACTGGGCACTATGTCAATAGGTTAGTCCCAAAAAATGATATAAACTTGCTATAAAATGATTGTAAAACATCTAAGAATGATAATATAGCAGCATGAATATTTCATAAATTATAGATACGTTGGAGACGTATCAAACAACCATTATTCTCTGATTTAAATGAATAACCGTCTCGCACTAAACAAGATCCAGATATAATATTCATGCTCAAAGCTGGCCCCAAATAACAATTATTCAGGTCTAAAACTAATCCTGAAGGTAGATGTAGAGGTAGCGTGCCGATGGCAATCACATCAACCTTGGAACCATTCCCGACGCGCATCGTCACCTCGTCCTTAGCCAATCTTCGTTTAATCCGTAGCTCCTGTTTCGAGTTACAAATATGAGCAACTGAACCAGTATAAAATACCTAGGCGCTGCTATGAGCATTAGTAAGGTACACATTAATAACATGTATATCAAATATACCTTTGTTCACTTTGCCATCCTTCTTATCCGCCAAATACTTGGGGCAGTTCCACTTCCAGTGACCAGTCCCTTTGCAATAGAAGCACATAGTTTCAGGCTTGAGTCCAGCTTTGGGCTTCTTCCCGGAAGTGGCAACTTTATTGTCATTCTTCTAGAAGTTCCCTTTCTTTCCCTTGCCCTTTTTATTGAAACTAGTGGTCTTGTTAACCATCAACACTTGATGCTCCTTCTTGATTTCTTCCTCCACAGCTATGAGCATTGCGAAGACCTCCATACCTTGCATATTATAGTTCATCACGAAGCCTTTGTAGCTTGGTGGCAGTGATTGAAGAGCTCTGTCAATAACACTATCATCTAAAAGATTAACTCCCAGCCAAGTCAAGTGATTATGATACCCAGACATTTTGAGTATGTGTTCACTAACAAAACTGTTCTCCTCCATCTTGTAGCTATGGAACTTGTTGGAGACTTCATATCTCTCAACTCAGGCATTTTCTTGAATATTAACTTTAACTCCTGGAACATCTCATATGCTCCATGACGTCCAAAATGTCTTTGAAGTTTTGATTCTAAGCCGTAAAGAATGACACACTGAACTATCCAGTAGTATCTGATCGAGCTTGCCAGACGTTCAAAACATCTGTATCTGCTCCTGCAGCAGGCCTTTCACCTAGCGGTGCATCAAGGACATAATTCTTCTGTGCAGCAATGAGGATAATCCTCAAGTTATGGACCCAGTCCGTGTACTTTCTACCATCATCTTTCAACTTAGCTTTCTCTAGGAATGCATTAAAATTCAGGGGAACGGTAGCACAGGCCATTGATCTATAACATAGATATGCAAATACTATCAAGACTAAGTTCATGATAAATTAAGTTCAATTAACAAATTACTTAAGAACTCCCACTTAGATAGACATCCCTCAAGTCATCTAAATGATACGTGATCCAAATCAACTAATCCATGTCCGATCATCACATGAGATGGAGTAGTCATCAATGGTGAACATCTCTATGTTGATCATATCCACTATACGATTCACGTTCGACCTTTTGGTCTCCAGTGTTCCGAGGCCATGTCTGTACATGCTAGGTTCGTCAAGTTTAACCCAAGTATTCCACATGTGCAAAATTGTCTTGCACCCGTTGTATGTGAACGTAGAGTCTATCACACCCGATCATCACGTGGTGCCTCAACACGACGAACTGTAGCAACGGTGCATACTCCGGGAGAACATTTTTACCTTGAAATTTAGTTAAGGGATCATCTTATAATGCTACCATCGCACTAAGCAAAATAAGATGCATAAAAGATAAACATCACATGCAATCAAAATATGTGACATGATATGGCCATCATCACCTTGTGCTTTTGATCTCCATCTCCAAAGCATCGTCATGATCTCCATTGTCACCGGCTCAACACCTTGATCTCCATTGTTGCGTCGTGGTCCTCTCGCCAACTATTGCTTCTACAACTATCACTAACGCATAGTGATAAAGTAAAGCAATTGCATGGCGTTTGCATGTCATACAATAAAGAGACAACCATAAGGCTCTTGCCGGTTGCCGTCAACTTTTACAAAACATGATCATCTCATACAATAACATATATCACATCATGTCTTGACCATATCACATCACAACATGCCCTGCAAAAACAAGTTAGACGTCCTCTACTTTGTTGTTGCAAGTTTTACGTGGCTGCAACGAGCTTCTAGCAAGAACCGTTCTTACCTACGCATAAAACCATAACGGTGTTTTGTCAAGTTTGTTGTTTTAACCTTCTTCAAGGACCGGTCGTAGTCAAATTCGATTCAACTAAAGTAGGAGAAACAGATACCCGCCAACCACCTTTATGCAAAACTACTTGCATGTCTGTCGGTGGAACCGGTCGCATGTGCGTGGACATGTAAGGTTGGTCCGGGCCGCTTCATCCCACAATACCACCAAATCAAAATAAGACGTTGGTGGTAAGACGTATGACTATCACTACCCACAACTCTTTGTGTTCTACATGTGCATATCATCTACGCATAGACCTGGCACCTCATGGGAGAAGGAAAGGGTGTGGGTGTCAAAAAAGGGTGTGGGGACATGCAATTGGATGCAGACTTGGGCGTGGAAGTCATGCTTATATTAAACATTGCAAATGAAACTTGGGATATTACACAAAAGAATGAGGATGACAATGGACATGGTATCAAGCCTAGTCCATCCAACGGAGCCAAGGTGAACCATATCTCTGTGGAGAAAGGAAGGGTACAAAACCACATCTCTGTGGAAAATAACTAGTGTTCTCTAAAGTTCATTATTTTCTACCTGAAATCTTTGTATTCAACATTTAGGATCCAATTACCTCTTCATGAACGTAAGTCCGTTTATTTTGTTTGCGGGACATGAACATAAGTTCTTGACAAGGCACACCCTTCGGTATGGCTTCAGAACAAGTCCTCCCCAAATTTGATTCTTTACCACATTCCTTTACCCCCTGTATTTCGGTTCCACCGTACCCCACTTGATAACGAAAAAGGGTTTCCCCCCGCTTTATCTTATAAAGCAACCATCACATCACACGTCATACAAGCCAAAACAAAAGAGAAAAAGAAAGAAACAACAAAGATACATGACACCGAAGGAGCCACTAACAAGCCCCGAATGCACCAAGCGCAAGCTTGAGCATCGAGGCCCTTGGCGAACAAGAACCAGCACACAAGGAAACTAAGACGAGGTAGTGTCCTGCTGCCGGAGGATTGCTACGCTCCATCGACTCCCTAGAATCCAGCCAGTGTCAGTCTGCCATCGGCCCTGCCTCTGAAGAAGGACGCCTGCCCTCTAGTCCTGGATCGGAGGACACAACGCCGTCGGCAGGCAGGGTAGCTCACCATCGAGCTCGCACCGCCAGGACCAACTGGTGGCCGGGGAGAGGACGACAAGCACGGCCACCGCACCACGCAGCAGCACACCCCAACATCGCCACCACCGCATGCAAGCATCAACTTCAACCGCAAGTAGCCGAGCCGGAACACCACTGAAGATAACCGGCAGACCACACCCGCGTCGGAGCTTTGACCACCACTCCGCCGTCCCAAAGGTGGTGTCTTCAAGAAGAAAACGATGCTGGCGCGCCGTCACCACCCAATCCGGAGATTTGGGCTTTCACCCAGGATAGGAAGAGAGGGTGAGGGCAAGATCGCGATACCGCCTTCAAGAAGGTGAACGACGCCGGAGCACCGCTGCCCGACCAGACCGACCCGCGTCGGCCACCATCGAGCGGGGGGAGAGAGGCCCTGCCGCTGCTGCTTCGCCCGTCAGCGTGAGCCGGCAGCGGTGAGAGGAGGAGGAAGGAGGAGGGGCCCTAAGGCCGGCGGCTAGGGTTTCCCCTCCCCGTCGCTCGCGGGAGCGACCGGGAGGGGAGGAGGGGGAGGAGGATAGAAAAGCCGCACCACACTTGATCACCAATGCCATTTATTAACACTATTACTCCTCACCATCTGTAGCCAAGAGCCATGATGATCAATGTTTGGACCCACAGCAGAGATTTCCACGTACACGATATATACTATACGTGTTCACAAGGAACACTAGTAGCAACACTCCTACCCTTCACATGACTCTGGCACAAAGGAAACTCACTACCCTGCAAAGTGTGGCTTTTAGCTACTACTCCCTCCGTTCCTAAATACTATTTGTCTTTCTAGAAATTTTAACAAATGACTACATACGGAGCAAAATGAATGAGTCTACACTCTAAAATATGTCTATATACATCCGTATGTGGTAGTCCATTTGAAATCCTAAAAAGACAAATATTTAGGAACGGAGGGAGTAGTACACGAGGAAAGTCTACTGTAGTACCATCGCAAACCGTACGTAAACGTTTTGATAGCGTTGCAGGTAAATACCTCTTCAAAGATGAGTGGGATTGTGGGAATGTCCTAGGTGCTAATTCGATTGCGTGATTGTTGGATTGGCCGCTTGCATAAATCGTTTTAAAAACTTGCTCTATTGTCCATTGTCTTTTGTATGTTTGAATTTGTTTTTCATTTAGTTGAAAATTATTCATTTATTGGCGTCACTACAGCTACATCAGTCGATCATAACAAACATCCTAAGAATTCCATCTAGCAAGTATGGCGCAGCGGTGTGTCGGCGAATGGCCCGTCCAGCACCCCGTCGGAGACAATCTTGTACGCCTTCTCCGTCATGTGCAGGCCGTCCCAGCTGGCGAAGCGGTCGGGGCTGCCCCAGAGTTTCGTCTGGTTGTTGCACGCCCCGCCGGTGTGGTACGGCCCATTGCCGTTGCAGCACGCCACGAGCGGGTCGGCGATGCCGTACGCCTGCGGCTTTTGGACGAACTGCATGGCGGCGCCGTAGTAGTCAGCGTAGACGACCTTGACGCCAGGGTTCTGCGACCGGAGCCGCGCGATCTCCTGCCGCAGCACCTGGTTGTGCTTCTGGGAGAATTCGTTATACCACTTGAGGCAGTGGAGCTCGTCGTAGTCAGCCTTGACGTTGCTCTGGTGGGCGCCCAGGTACGCCGGCAAGCACCCGATGGGGAAGTTGCCAGGGACGACGATCGTCCTGGCGCCGAGGTTGATCACCTCCTGCACGGCGGCGCCGATGCGGGCGACCACGTCGGGCAGGTACTTCTCCGGCGTTTCACGGGGTCTCCGGCGGTCACTGAACCAGAAGTTGTAGTCGTTCCCGCCGATCTCGCCCATCAGCACCAGGGACTCGTTGAGGAGAGACCTCGTGGCGCCTGTGTCAAGACGAGAAATGATATACAGATCTACTGAACCCCATGAAATTGACAACGCATGCATGCATGCATGCACGGGCATATACTATACAGTATGTTGCTTACCGTTCCCGGGAGCGATGCGCGCAAGGATCTTCTTGAAGGACGCGAGCTGCCGGTCGAGGTTGGAAGGCGCGTTCATCGTGAAGTTGTATTTGGTCTTGTAGTACTCCAGTGGAAGTGCGATGGCGCCCCCCACGGCGAAGTTGGCGCCGGTGGGGAACTGCCCGGTCGCCTCCTCCGGGATGCTCGGCGGCAGCAGCGGCAGACCGAACGCCTCCGCTGAAAGCATACACACATAACATAAGCACCCCTCGCTTTAACTACAAGAATAATCGATGATGGCGGCGGCGGCTCACTGTAGAAGTCGACGACGACACGGCCGTCGGTGATGCGGCCGGTGGGGTGCTTGAAGAAGGTCATGCCGTAGGGGAGCTCCTTGATTGGCGACGCCCTGTTGCCGACGGAGTATAACAAGTTGCCGGTGTCGATGAGGGAGTCACCGAACGCGAAGATACGCTTGTAGCTGCAGCCGCACAGCGCCACGTCGGTGTTGAGAAGCGCCACGACGGAGATGGCGAGGATGACAGTGGACACGCCGGAGGAGAACCTGCGACTCCCCATCTCTTCTCTGAAAATCAAGTATGTTTACTACATCGATTTACAGTTAATTTTGGTGTCCTTTTATAGAACTTCATTGGGTATGTGGGTGACATATATGGATAAATGCATATCAGTGTGTGTATCAATCAAGGATTACGTAAGGCGGAGGTATATACTACATGAATCATATAAAAAGTTGATTTAATTCTATATATGAGAAGATGTGGTTTTTATGGCATTTTTTTGCGGGAAGTTTTGATGACATTGTTGGTCCATCGTCCATGCATGGGCCGGCTCTAGTTTTTGGTGACAAAAAGGGAGAAAGCTAATCTCTTGCCTAAAATAAAATGTTCTCTTATTAGCTCTTCAAATTATTATTTTTGAACACAGTACAGACGCGCATATACCACTAGTAGAAAAAGGACCTATTGTCCCGGTTCGTAAGGGCCATTTGTCCCGGTTTTAAATCGGGACTAAAGTGTCGGTACTAATGCCCTAGACCTTTAGTCCCGGTTCTTGCATAAACCGGGACAGATGTGCCTCCACGTGGCCGGTGCGGCGAGCCCAGGTAGAAGGCCCTTTGGTCCCGGTTGGTGGCACCAACCGGG